CCAAAACCCCAAAACCCCAAAACCCCGAATGCTCAATTTTATTTAAATATGTAGTTTTTAATAAATTTTAATCATCAATCAAATAATTTTTATTATTTTCTCTAAAATTTCAAACATTCTTAGTATTGCTTAATGCACTTTTAATTCCTTTTGAACCAAAAGCCTGATCTTTTATTCTGTCTAGATATTATTAATATTTTACATCCATTTAATCTCTGAAAATCTAACCACTTCTCTCTCTAGATTATTATCTTTTATGTTTTAACTACTTTATATTTGAAAGTTCATCATCACTATCTGGCACTTAAATTACTTGCTTAATTGAAGGACTTCTGTAATTCCCAAACATTTTATCTTTCTAATTAAGGGGAGTTAGCAGTTAAGGTGAAATCTACATGATATTTGATCTATTATTCATGTTATTATGAAGATCCTCTTTACTCTACTGATTACTTTTGACAAGATAACTTTTATTGATGCTCGGAAGATCAACAATTTTTTCTGGACTTTAAAATTAGTTTTAGTAATCTATATCTATCATTGGAGAGTTAGCTTCAGCCACTGATGAAACTCTTTACTTTAGTTTTATTTCTTTCTTTTTGATTTACAATTTCAGACTTTTAAACATATCCTATAAAACCTAGTTATCTGTCTTTAACTTTTCAATCTGTTGTTGCTATTCCAGAATTTTTTACTTTTCTTTTTTAGACTGATCAACTTTCTTTAGTTACCTTCTCAACTTATCTATTTCCTATACTTGAGATTTATATAGCAACTCACTATCTTATAGCTTTGAATGAAGGAGTTTTACATCTAACTCTAGGTTTTCTTGCTCTTGTTTCATCGCTAATACTTTGTTCTTTTACTTCAAACAGATCGCTAATTATTCATCAATCAGCATTTTCAATTTAACTATATCAGACAAAAGTTTTTCATTTTCAAGAGACGTTAATAGTTTTGCCTCTTAAACACTCATTAATTAGGTTTCGAGTTATATTATCTTATCTAGTTATTCATCAATTACCTTTTCTCCTTACACATTTTAATCCTTAATTTCTTGGGACATTTCTTAAATTGCTTTATCTTTTTGAGAAAGTTCTCTTTGCATGCTAGAAATCTTATCAATGTATTTTTTCATCTAATTCTATATTTCCTCTTCTTTTTTTAATAACTTGATAGGATCAATTTTGACAGGACTATCCATTATTGAAGTAATATGATTGCAATGTTGGCACCTTTCTTCCTAATCTATTTGCTATGTTAAAAATGGAGTTTGATCTTAGGCTAATGAATCCAAATATCTTTTGTTATCCACTTCAAGTCTGTCCTTTTCTAAGACTAATTAATCTATTTATAGTATTAGATCAGAATTTTTAACTTAGAAAATAGCGAGTTGTTGGGTCGCATCGCTTAAATTCTTTTGAATTTCTTTGATTTTTTAATCTAATGTTGAAGTATTAGATTAATTTTGTATATTTGTATCCTCTAATCTTTAAAGAAGATCTTGATTTTAATTTAATAGGAGCTGATTCTTATCTTTTAATTCTTTTATTTGATTCAGCAACTTATTTATTTAACTTTCACTCTGCTAATTTTTAGAAAAGAGTTCATCTTATATAATTTATTTTTGTTAAAGATGTTCTTTTAATTCATCATTGTCTAACTCAATCATTAATATCTTCTTTTTAAACTCTTCCGTCCTTTATCGAGTATCTGATAATTACTTTTCCAGATCCTCTCATCCATCAGGTTCACTTTATATTTCTTGATCAGTAAACTAAGGTAACGAACTCTTCTTAGGTTTGACTGGCTCTTTTAGTCTTTAAATTTCCAAAAACAGCTTGTCTTTTATTTTCTTAAGCTAACTTATTTCTTTCTTAAATTAATCTAAATCATTTTCAAGTTCCTTTTTCTCTGCTCTTAGCTTCTCTACATGAGCTTTTTAATATTCAAATTCCTGAATCCTTTCATTTAAATCTAAGATTAAATTTTATTAAGAATAAGTTTACCTTTTTCTTTTTCAAGAAGGTGCTTCCAGTTTTCATCAAGTCTGGCTTGATTTTATTTTTCTTCTTGAGGTGTTGCAAGTTTTTAGGTTGGCTTAGTCTAAAGCTAAGGCTTTTTGCTCATTTTAATTAATGTATAAAAAGTGAAAAATTTTATTTATTAAAGAGTTTTCATTTTAAATATAATTTAAGTTAGTGATGATTTTGGCCTCTATCTTATTTCAATCATTTGGGGTTTTGGGGTTTTGGGGTTTTGGGG